AAATATTGCACATTTGAAATAGCAGTCAAAAAGCGTACAAACATTTTGTTTGCAAAATTGTACGATTTTAAAGTTTGAAGATTTTTTTCGTCATGATTTTGTTCCAAAAGTTGAAAATTAGAAATGCAGTTGTATAGAGAATTTTTTTTATAGCTTTTGATTTATGTAAAATAATATATATATTATATATATATATATATATATATATATATAATATACATGTATATATTATTACAGCTAGTATTAGGTTTCAATAGAACAGAATCGAACGTCGATTTTTTATCCATCAGTGGTATGGTGGTATGGTTTTGCAAAAAAACGAAAAAAATATCAGTCGATCGTTTTGAACGCGCAATGAAAATACGTGAAGCGAAAATTTGCAAAGTTTTTTTTCTGTTTCGCGTAAAACGAGTCTGCGTCGCTTTTCCCACATTTAAAGCTTTCTAAAAACAACTCAAACTACTCATTGCACCGACGAACGCTTTCACGAGGAAAAGATCCTAACGTTTAATAATTATTTATTTATTAACTATCATGATTAATGGTAATATTTATCTAGATCAAATCAAACGGTCTATATGTATAGTGGTACTCTGGTATACGAGTTTAATTTGTTCCGTGAACACGCTCGTATGTCGAATCGCTCGTATCTCGAAGCAATATTTCTCATAGAAATTCCATTAATTTGTCCCAGCCACTATGGTTTTCGTTAAGTATTTTGAATATTGAAAATAACTTCACTATTTATTTAATTAATTATTGCTTTTTTCAAAACTCTTCAAATTATTGTAAAGCCCTTAGCTGGTGTTATATATTATACTCTTATTTCATAAGAGTAAGAGTAAAATGTCGTAAGAGTAAGTAATTTCGTAAATATCAACTGGTTGGAAATGAAAAGAAATCATTATAACTGTTTATAATTAATTATTTAGTATTGATTTATTTCAGATTGTGTTGTACGAATACATTATTATAAATATTACCATCCCAAAGAAGCCAAGGTCTCTCAAGGAATTACAAATAGAATTATAACCCAACAAGGTCTGATTTATAATGGAAAAAATAACTCGAAAAGTCAAGGAAATTCTGCATCTGTATGCAAAGTTGCAAACATATATAATGTTAAATAAAAAATGAGCTAGATGTAAATAATCAGCTTAATCGATAAGAATTGATTCGCGAGCACATTTTTCGACATCAATTTAAATTGTGCAAAAACTTGTTTAAGCACATACATTTTATTTTACATAAATGAAAAGCTTATAAAATTCTCTAAATAACCGCATTTAATGATTTTCAACTTTTGGAACAAAAACATGACGAAAAAATCGTCAAATTTTAAAATCGTAATTTTGCAAAGAAAATGTTTGTACGCTTTTTGATTCCAATTTCAAATGTGCAATATTTTGTTAAAACACATAAATTTTGTTAGATATAAATAAAATGCCTATAAAATTCTCTATCCAACTGCATTTGCCAATCTTGAACCTTTGGAACTAATACATGATGAAAAAAATCGTCAAACCTAAAAATCGTACAATTTTGCAAACAAAATGTTTGTACGCTTTTTGATTCCAATTTCAAATGTGCAATATTTTGTTAAAACACATGAATTTTGTTAAATATAAATAAAATGCCTATAAAATTCTCTATACAACTGCATTTGCCAATTTTGAACCTTTGGAACTAATACATGATGAAAAAATTCGTCAAACCTGAAAATCGTACAATTTTGCAAACAAAATGTCTGTACGCTTTTTGACTGCAATTTCAAATGTGCAATATTTTGTTAAAACACATAAATTTTGTCAAATATTTGACAAATATAAATAAAAAACCTATAAAATTCTCTATACATCTGTATTTACCAATTTTTAACTTTTAGAACAAAATCATGACGAAAAAAATGGTCAAACTTTAAAATCGTATAAGTGTCTAATTATACTCACCTATGGTAGTCTCCCTTGCAAAGAATCATGCCCCTTTTGCTAAACAGGAAGCCCCCAAATCTGCCAATGTGGCTTGGCAATAAGTGCATTTGAGACATGCATGGTGCCAATACCTGTCCAATGCCAGAAGTAAAAATCGTTCTTCTATCCGATAACCGCATCCTGCCCACACAACTTTCCCATGGCTGCTTGGAACACACAATTTTTTTTAGCAAAAGTTCTTCTTTATAGAATACTTCATATATCTATCTACCATACCTGAAACTTGCGTCGGCGTTCCATTAACATAGCCCTGCGTCATTTGCTGTTGCTGCTGCTGCTGCTGCTGTGCCGCCAACTGTTGCCCGTGCTGTTGAAACTGGAACATCTGCTGCAAATGCTGCTGATTAGAACCAGCGCCGCCCGCGCCCGTCATCATCTGCTGCTGATTTGCACCAGCACCGCCGCCCATCTGCTGATTGCCAACCATTTGCTGCTGCTGGCCGTTTCCGTTGCCCCCCGAAGGCAGCATTTGTTGAGAATTGCTGCCGGGGCTCATCTGCTGCTGGTGTATTTCACCATATGAAGGGAAAGGAGAGTGCTGGTGGGGAGATGTACTTGAATTCATTGTTGATGGCAAATGAAAATTTATTGGTAAGTTTGTTTGAAAAATTGAAGGAGCACTTTGACTTATTGAGTCATAATTGAGGGAGTTTCAATTTAACCTTCATTATGAATTATGTGAGTGAATTGTATTGTAAATAGATGATGGAAACTTGTTATAACAAAGAATCCCCATTAACTCATTATTTTGAATCTGGATGCTGAGGTTTAATTTAATTTTAAATTAGGTTCTAATAAGGATTAGGGATATGTAGAAATGCACCAGGACATCTGAAAATATAAAAATAAAAGTCAATAACATTAAAGTTTTAGATATTACATTTCTTAAGAATAAGATTTGATAAGAATAAAATTTCATAAGAGTAAGATTTGATAAGATTAAGAATAAGAGTAAAATTTTATAAAAGTTAGAGTAAAATTGAACTAGTGGTGTATGGCATCGTGCCTTAAAGCAAATTGCTGGAACTTCCCGTACCGTAATGAAATATTCGAAAAATTTTACACGATTTCAAATATATTATTACAAATACTGTAACTTTCATTATTTCTGCTATCTTGTTATATCTGGGCAAATCAAATCTAAATCATAAATCAATTTATCTCCAGAACATTAACAATCGTCATTTCATTTCGAATACAATTTCAAAAAAAAAATAGTTGCCTAATTTACACAAAATTGAAAAAGTGCTCCCGGATAATCACATTTGATAAGAGTAAGAGTAAGATTTTAAAAGAGTAAGGGGCCAATTCTCATATAAAATAAAAATATTGTGTGTTTACTGTGCGATCAAGCGTCAGGCTCTTTTGAACCAGAAAATAAAATTAAAATTAAATATTAGATTACATATTATCAAGCTGGTACCATAGTTATGATATTTATAAAAGTTTAGGTCAATTTATACTATAATATAATGAACATATTTTGCACCATAATATGGCGTGTGAATTTCCGAGATTTTCCAGCAAGTGTTATACTCATTCGAGCGTCAATAAGCTTTATCGGAGATGTATGCATGTATGTATATATATATATATATATATATATATATATATATGTGTGTGTGCGTGTGTGTTTGTGTGTAGGCAATAAGGTTTAACTTATATGTTAACCTGCCTTTAGGCCAAGTACTCCAAAATCATTCCTCCAATTCATAATTATTGATGTTATATAAATCATATAAATTTATTCGTATAAAGTTTTATATAAATCTTCAAAAGTTTACATTGGGCTTTAGTTATCTTGCCATTTTCAAATAAGATTGATCTCTTAAAATTTCATCAAATATAAGAATTTATTTAATTATCATGTTTATTCTCAAATAAAATATTTTCTTACGATTTCTTCATTTGTAATTATAAGAATATCTTTAATTATCCTACCTATTCTCGTAAGAGTAAAATTTGATAAGAGTAAGAGAGTTAGATTTCATAAGAATAAAAAGAAGATTTCATAATAGTTAAATTTCATAGCAGTTCATAATAATAAGAATGGAAGTTTACAAAATAAGATTCATAAGAGTAAAATTTGATAAGAGCAATAATAAATATAATAAGAGTAAGAGATAGATTTAACAAGAGTAAGAATAAAATTTCATAAAAGTAAAATTTCATAATTTCCTCATTTGTAATTATAAGAATATATTTAATTATCCACTTTATTCTTGAATGAGTTTGTTTCTTAAAGAAAATCTATAATTATCATCTTCTCTATTCTCTAGTAAGATTGCTCTCTTATAATTTCTGCAAATATAATAATAAATTTAATTATTATGTATATTCTCTAATAAAATTCTAATATTCTCGTAAAGATAATATGTGGTAAAAGTAAGAGAGTTGGATTAGAGTAAGAATAAAATTTTATAATAGAACAGTAAAATTTCATAAGAGTTACATTTCATAACAGTTAGAGTAAGATTTGATAAGAGTAAGAGATAGATTTCATAAAAGTAAGGATAAGATTTCATAAAAATAAGAGTAAGATTTCATAAGGGTTAAATTTCATAATATCTTCATTAGTAATTATAAAAATGTCTTCAATTATCCAGTTCATTCTTGAATAAGATTGTTTCTATATAATTTCTTCAATTGTGTCTAGTGTAAGAATACTTATTCCTTAATTATTCTGTGTATTCTAAAATAAGTTTACTATCTTATAACTTCTTATATTTTGCCAAGTATAAGATTATCTTTAATTATTATCTTTTCCATTCTCTAGTAAGATTGCTTATGCTCTTTTATAACTTCTTATATTTTGCCAAGTATAAAATGATGTTTAATACTCTAATTGTGGTAGAATATCTTTCATTAACATGTATATTCAGTAATAAAATTGCTCCCTTTTAATTTCATTAAATATAAAAATTTATTTAATTATCATGTATATTCTCTAATAAAATTACTCTCTTATATTTTCTTCATTTAAAATGATAAAATGTCTTTAATTATACATTCAGTTATTCTCAGATAAGAGTAAAAGTTAAGTTTAAATAAGATTTCATAAAAGTTGGAATGAAATTTGGTAAGAGTAAGATTTAGATTTCATAGGAGTAAGAATATGATTTGATAAAATAAGAGTAAGATTTTATAAGAGTTAAAAGTCATAATTTCTTCACTTGTAATTACAAGAAAGTCTTCAAGTATGCAGTTTATTCTTGAATAAGTTTGTTTCTATAAATTTCTTCAATTGTGTCTAATGTAAGAATACTTATCGTTTAATAATTCAGTCTTTCTCGAATAAATTTTCAATTTTATAATTTCAATTTTGTCAAGTATAAAATTATCTTTAATTGAAGAAATTTTAGAGAAGCAATTTTATTCGAGAATTAAAGGGTAATTAAAGATAATCTCATACTTAGAAAAATATTAGAAGTTATAATGATTTACTTAATTGAGAATAAACAGAATAATTAAAGGATAAGTATTCTTACATTAGACACAATTGAAGAAATTATATAGAAATAAATTTATTCAAGAATAAACTGGATAATTAAAGACATTCTTATAATTACACTTTTATGAAATCTTATTCTTCCTCTTGTGAAATATAATATTAACTCTTATCAAATTTTACTCTAACTGTTATGAAATTTAACTCTTATGAAATCTCACTGTTACTGTTATAAAATCTTATTCTTACTCTTATCAATTCTAACTTTCTTACTCTTATTAAATTTTACTCTTACGAGAAAAGACAGTATAATTAAAGGCATTCTTATAATTACAATTGAAGAAATTTCAAAAGAGTAAGTTTATTAGAGAATAGACATAATAACTAAATGTATTCTATTACAGAAATATGACAATATAATCAAAATGAAAATAAAACTAGCTGTAAGTGGAATTCTGTCTTAAGGCAATTAGGGCATCGTGCCTTAAGGCAAATTGCTGGAACTTCCCGTACAAAAATTATTATTTTTTTAAACGATTAACATTTTTGAAAAAAATTTAATTAAAAAAATAGATTTGAGAAACTACAAATTTGACAAAAAAAATTTGTATTTTTTTTTGGATACAAAAAATTTTTTGAAAAAAATGTTTTCTTCTTCATTTGACATATTTTGGAAATTCTGAACTTTTTTCAAAGCAATCGCACTGCTTGAACTGCATAGAGACGAAATGTCAAAGCTCGCAAGTGCCGCGCCGCCGTCTAACGCATAAGCATTGGTACGGAACCCATAAAAATGTAAAAAAAATATACTTATTGTTAAAATCTCTATAATATCTGATAATTTGATGTGCATTGTCTAATGATAATTTTTAAACCGCCGAACGGCATTATTTTTTACTTTTTTCATTAGATCTCCGAAACCGCTAGACCTACCTCCATGAAAATTTGATCAATTCTACATCTTGTCAATACAAGTAAAATGTTTTTGAATTATTCAAATCGGACGCTCCGTTCTCTTAAAAACGGAGGTACCGTTCTTGTCACTTTTTGCCCCGTATCTTCGGAACGGCTAGACCTGCCTTTGCCAAAAACTAATCAGCACGTCTCCTTATCAATACGAATCGAATGTTTTTTGAATTTCAAATCGGTTGATCCGTGTTCCCGAAATCGTCGACGAAATTTGTATCCGCACATACATACACACACATACATACATACATACAACATACATACATACATACACACACACACAACACACACACATACATCCATTTTTCTAAGGTATGCCAAATGTTCAGAAGGTTTTGAAACGTCGAGAAATGCAAAAATTTTCATTTTCGATTTTTTTGCGATTACTATAACTTACCCTACGGGAAGTTAAAAATAAATGAGTGGATTATATAACAAAATGTTAAAAAATGTTAGAAAATTAGAAAGAAATGTTTTTTTAAAAAACTTTTTTGTTTTTTATTACTTTTTGGATTCTTTGTTTGAAGCTCTAAAAATATTATATATATATATATATATATATATATATATATATATAAATATATATGTATGTATGTATATCTGTATATACGAGTATATATGTATAAATGTGTGTATGAATATTTATGTGCATATACGTATAATTGAGGATGTTTTGGCATTTCCCAAATTAAATTTAATTCAGATAATTAACAAGGGGTGCTCTCCAAGGGGATGTTTCGCCCTCCGCCTTGCCTTTGTATAAAACGTTTTCCAGAACGGGACAGACATAATCAAATGGACCAGGGCCGAATTCACCATTATAATAAGACAGAAAATATAATTAATTATTAGGTTCATCTGGAACAAAAAGGATTTAATTGTTTATAATATTTGGCACAAAAGTTTGCTTACAAAAATTGGCAGCAATATTTAAAAAAAAAGTTGTTTCATGAAACGTTGAAACCCATTTTTTTTTTTTTTTTTTAAATAACAGTTTTTCACATTTGCCACACATATTTCATCTTTATATATTAATTTTCTACCTTTGAAATTCCTTTATCATTTTATTACGATTTGGCTCTGATCAAGCGAGCGAGGAAGGGGTAGCTCTCGGTTTAGTTATATGAAATTTTAATTATTAATTATCC